TGTAGTACTTTAATGTGATTTAAATACTCTGTTTAAACACTCTTTTCCCTTACATTTGATTATTTTAGGTAAATAAAATTATCATTGTAGAATATCCAAAAGTGGAAGGGGTGGACGTGGCTTTTCTCCAAGCTACAGGTCCATATCATACCATTTTAAATACATAACTTCTGTTTTGATGGTGCTGAAACATGAAAAATAACTCTTGTCTATTGCTCTCTCTATATAGTAGGTAGTCAATATAAAAGAAAAGTGGTTGTGATTTTACCTGTTGATGGTTATACAGGCAGATTCATTTGTAGTGTCTGATGTGCTGGGAAGACCCTCTTTTACATTGTTCCACTGCATCATGGCACTCCACTGCCATTTGATACAACTGATTAAAAAATGACAAAGGCAGCATGACAGCTGTGCAAAAATGCACACTTCGGTCAGACAGCGGCTAAATCTACACCTAACAATGATAAGGTAACTTTCTCCATGAGTGAATATATTGTTAAACAAAACAGTACAAATCATTACACAGTTGGAAAGTTAGTGTAAAAGTCTGCTAAACTGCTTTGTAGGTGTTAACACATAGTCTATTAAATTATGTTAAGACTAACATATACTTTAGAGACAAAAATCTACCTTTAAAGCTACTATTTAATTGAAATTTGTTCAATTTATTAGTGTATTATTGAACTGCAGCACAGCGGCATAGCACTTAGCACTGTTGCCTTGCAACAAGAAAGTTCAGAGTTTGACTCCACCATCTGGCCTGGCCCTTTCCCTGGGGAATTTTCATGTTGGCCCCTTGTTTGCGTGCCCTAGCACGGAACCCTGTGGAACCCCATATTTAACCTTAGTGTGTGAAGAGGACTCTCCATTTGTCTAAACAAATTAGAGTCGATTAGATAGGGATGATTCAAACCACTGCAGTGCTTTACCTTTAATACAGCATGTTCTAATCACTGTAATAAAATGGAATGGTCAGCAGTACCAAACAGTTACAGTATCAAACAGTTACAGTTGCTCGAACACAATAAGAACATTAAGCTAAATTAAATACTACAATATATTACAAAGTTGGTGTTTTTTTTAAAGAAATAGCCCTAACCTATAATAGCTCAATTATAAATATCTAGAATATTACAGAGATTAAATATAGATGACTGACATTTTACTCTAAACTGTAAAATGTTTGCCAGCAACCAACCTGCTCTCAGCATCAAAAGACTCCGACCTAAACAAACATCTGGAAGTAAGTTCTTTTTTAAAAACTAATGTTAGCCTACTGCAACTACCTCGTTTCAGTTGTGGTAGCTACCTGGGCTATGTGCCACTTCAGTATCTGCATGGACCACACTTCTGGGTACTGTAATGTAGAAGTACATGATGAAGACAAGTACACAGCTTTCACATCCCCATTCAGATTATATAAACATAATCGGATGCCTCGACGATTGTGCAATAGCCCTGCCACATTCATGAGAATGATGCTCAGGTATGCTATCTGGATTATGTCCTGGTGTTTGCCCCGACAGAAGATCTGGCATTACAAAGGTTGGAGATGGTCTTTCAGTGACTTAACCCTCCTGCCATCCTTTAAAAAACTCACACCCATTACCCTAGGGACCATTCTCAGCCACACCAAAAAACGCCACAAAAAGACCATATATCCATATTTTATTCCACTTTAAATTAGCCAACCTTGTAAAACTACTTCTCCCTGAAATATTCATGTAAAGTTTTAATTATATTGTCGTTGTTTTAACCCTTCAAATCCCAGTGTTATTACATGAGCGCCCTGTGTTATAAGCCCCAAAAAACAAAAAACAAAACTAAATATTTCCACAAAAAACCAGTTGAAGTAATATGTGATTGTCATTATAAGTAGGCCTTTAGATGGACCAAAGATTGGCACCAACATACATTTTGACCTGCCATTATTTTTTTGCATTTTTTTTGCAATTTAAAAATTAAAACTTCAAGGCCCTGAGTCTTCATTGACATCCAAGAAAAGAAGAAAAAATAAAATCATATAATGATAATTTGGGGATGAAAAATAGCGTTTATAATGGAAGTCAATGGGCAGAAAATGGTCCCCAGGGTGATGGGTGTGGGGATTTCTGCTGCTCAGCCATTTTAGGCTGATTTAAGGAATTCACACTGGAATATTAACATTGACAGGTAAAAACTATCCTGTGGCAAGTTTGGTTATATTCCACTGAACACAGTGGAAATGGCAGCCATTTAACACATAGCAGTGGCACAAAAAGGTCCCAAGAAGGCAGGAAGGTTAAGCCCACAACCGCAAGCTTTCTCCAAAGAAACATGATTTCCTGCAAAGATCAGTGAGGTTTCTGGGATGTGTCATGAGTGCTGGGGATATAAGGTCAGGCCCTGACAAGGTTAAAGCCATTGCATCTGACCTTATGGAACAAGACACTAGTATTCCCTTTAATGAAAATTCCTTTTTCATTTATGCATTGATCACGTGTTCTGACAATACTATGTATGAGGTATTAGTTATATATAAAGGATAGCACAATATATGTGTTTTATACTTTATTCCACACAGTTAAGTATTGTAGAGTAGTTAGGGGTAGACTGGCACACCCAGACACCATTAGACGGTAGAGACGTTAGACGGATAGTGAGATCCCTCTCTAACCCTTAAGCAGGAGGGGGCCCCCTCGGAGAAGGATTCAGGAGATACATCTTCATGTGACTGTTAAGAGAGGTTTTAACTCTCTCTCTCTGGGGGAAAGGTGCTGAGCTGTAAGAGTGGGGAAATGTTCTTTGTTTCGTACTTTGTATATAAGGAGCGAATGCCACTTCTATTTTCAGCATCTGACCTGTTTTCTCTCCTGCTGCAGTGTGATATAAATTTCACTTCAAAGACGCTCATAAAGTGTTTGCATTTTATTTAAAAAGTTCCACGACATCCCTCACAGAGAAAAATCTGCTCTTCGCTTGCTATGGACTGTGTTGTACCAACAGTTCAATGAGAACTGTTTAGACTGACAGTGGGTGACAAGAGCCCCCATGGGGAGGGGCACAAACACCATCAGGTTCACAGGAAGCTGAACACTGATGATTAGACAGATGAATGCAGGCAGACCTTCTTTTTGCTGAAGCAAGCCTTGCTGGAACAGGTCATTTTTGCCCATCCAAACTTCAGCGAGTCCTTTCTACTCTCAGTAGATGGATCAAGTAATGGTCTTGGTGCTGTGCTATCACAAGTCCACGTTGGTTGATCTAATGTAAGACCAATTGGATTTGTGAGCAAGTACCTCACCAATGTAGAGTTCAAGTACCCAGCACACCGGTTGGAATTTTCTACTTTGAAGTGGGCTGTTTGATAAGTTTCACTACTGGCTAAGAGGCCACCAGTTCACTTTTGTGGACACACAAAAATCCTTTGGATCCACATGTTCAGATTGATTCTAGGATGTGTCCCCATGGCTCATTTGCTGCCCCAGTTTTCTCACACTGTGCTGGTACCTGGGTGCAATGGTTTCGAGGTGCTTCCTCATGATTTGCTGGTGGAGAGTGAGAAAAACTGTAGTGCAGTGGTGTCAAACTCAAATACACAGTGGGCCAAAATTCAAAACTGGAACAAAGTCGCGGGCTAACATTAATATTTATTGAAAAAAAATCTTCCTCTAGATATAAGAATTAATCTTTTGTTATGGACTCAAACAAGTTTTGCTGAAAAACTGAATATGGAACAAGCAAAGCTTAATACTAAACAATATTAGCTGTATAATACCAGTAGGCCAGCTCTAATAGTAATTTGGTATGGCTTCGCGGGCCAAATGTAATTAGGCTGCGGGCCAAATTTGGCCCACGGGCCAGAGTTTGACACCTATGCTGTAGTGTTTTTAGTCGGGTGATCTTTTTTTTGCATAGAAACTGTCAACCATCAAGGAGATAACATCTTAAGGACCCAGTTGAAATACTCAAGCTGCTTAGGTGTTCAATTAAGTTTCAAACAAGTTCCTGATTGCTGAGTTGTTGATCATGGCAGGTGTCCATAAATCCTTTACCATTTTATAGGCAATAGCTCTTGTGAAAGAATGAACTGGACATTAGGGAACATGCCAGTGATTTTTTTCAACTTTGCTTTACACTGCCACCCAGAGGGAGTCTAGTGTATCCTTGCTGTTCAGCTCGATCGGACCTGACGGGAGAGACTTTGTTGCCAATGTCTCTGTTGCGTCTGTGGAGTACAGGAATAAAGTTTGGGTGTCTGCCCTGCTGTCCACAACCTCGACACCCTCAAGTCATACTAGCTTTCAGAATCCTCTAAGCTCTGGCTGAAAAGGAGGTGTTGCAGCAGTCTTCGACTCTGGCTTATTAATTAACCAAAGACCCAAACAGAGTTTGAATTAATTTGAAAGCCTGTACCTTAGCCTTGTACACCCTAACTGGAAAATTCAAAAACCAGCTTTATTTGTTGTTACATATTGTCCACCTGGTCCTTACTCAGATTTTCTATCTGATTTCTTAGAAAGTTTATTGCTGAACTCAGATAAAATAATTATTGTTGATGATTTTCACATCCATGTAGATACTGAGAATGACAGCCTTAGCACAGCATTTAATTTGCTCTTGGACTCAACTGACTTTTATCAAAATGTTTAAAATCAAGTTTGAAAAGCTCAAATATCTTGCTTTTCACCACTCATTGAACAAAATAGGAACAACCCTAATTTTCTCTTAGTCAAATTGCTGTTGAGCAAAGTATTCCTTTAACCTTAAGTATTAATGACTTCACAAATGTCTTCAAAAATAAAATTTCAATCATTACAGAAAAAAATATTAATAACCATTTCAAAGACATATCATTATAATGTGATGATCCTATTCCTGATGTAATAAAAACAGACAATGTTTTGAATGTGTTATTTTGTAAGGGTAGGTGCACAACTCATTGCAAGAATGCAAGATCTGCATGAATATGGACTGTGAAAAATCAATAGGTAGCACATTGTTAACTCAAACAACGAACATCATTTCATATCAAGCTTATGTTTATTAACTGCTTGAGAGAAAATAAAGAAGCAAAATTCAGTATTGTTAACAAAGGTAGCATGTGCTAGTAGAACTACTTATTACGCTAGCATCTAAAGAGCTGAAGATGATATTATTAGGTAAGGTTTGTCTTTTCAGTTTATCGTGTTTATTGCATTGCTTTATCCCATGAAAGACTTTAATCCATACTGACCTGTATTTAACTTGAATTCTACTTTCAATTAGCACACATATGGATATTTTAATTAACAGTTCTGTTGCAATATTACGACTTTTGCATCCCATATCAGAATTGTAAATTTTGTAAATTCAAAACAAAAAGTAGAATTCTATGTAGTTCTCAGGTTCACTTCCTTGGACATCCATGGAGTTTGTATACCTGGACCAGGTCCTGTATTCCCACACAGGTAGAATGATATTCCCTAGTCTGGCACTCGGCAGTTGTGGGCCAGTACTCAATCCAGGTTCTCTCACCAAGCACATACTGGTATCTGAGCAAAGAAAAGTGAGAGGAAAAAACCAAAAACATTGGGTCTTCACACAGGCAAGTTTAAAAAGTCAGAAATATCATATGTATTGTAACACTATGAGCAGCAACATGATAACATTTGATTGAACCTTAAATCTACCTTGCTTGTTTGTTTGGGATTTATTTCATAAAATTGGTGCAAATTGGCTTTAGTTTAATTCAGTTTGGTGGGCAAAGAACCAGGGAGCGGCGTGGCGAACAAGAAGCGGGACCCTGGTTACAAAGAAAAACTCAGAGCCTTCAGGAGGAGAGCGCCTTCATCCTCAGGAAATTGAGGTCTACCCACTCTGTTTTCAATACTTGAGACTATTATATTCGGTTTATGGTGCAAAATAAATAAATAAGTAGGTTTTCTCAGAGGTAGTTTCTATGGTGAGACCTTAGCCATCAAGGACCTCCTTCACAGACTGATGAAGATGCTGCCTTTGGAGGTGAAGCAGGGTCCATCTCAGAGACCTTTACCTTGGAAGTTAGGACCTCAGTTTGATTTTTGGTCCTCTTTGATGTTATCTTTTTTATGTGTTCTATGCTCAGTGTTTACAAGGGTGAGCGGGGAGCCCATCAAACTGTGTATAATAACTACAGGGGCTGCAACTTAAATGAGTAGCAGGTTAACGAAACTGGTGTCAATCAACATCAGTGGTGATGTGAAATAGGTCCCTGTACCATTTCAGATCATAATTCTATTTATGATGACATCTGCCTGAACAGGAAAAATAGATCTACCTTATGGAGGTTGAACACAAACATTCTAAATTACCCATATGCTAAAGAGAGTTTGAAAAAAGAAATAGAGATTTAATTAGATTATAACGAGAATGAGGAGGTGTCACAGGGAATATTATGTTGCACACTGAAGGCACTGATTAGAGGCGAAATAAACAGTATATCCTCCTACCTGAAAAAATCAAGTAGGGAAAATTTTCACTTGGAAGAGAAATTGTTAGATCTGCAACATCTACATTCTGTGATGCTGAATGCTGATATTAAACCTGATATAATAAGATTTAAAAATGAAACAGATGACATATATGCAATGGACATAAGAAAAAAAATCTTTCTATAATACCCTTTTGTATCATATTTGATACAAGAGTTTTGGAGACCTCGATCTCATAAACATGATTAATACTTGCCATAATTTCAAAATGTTACGGACCAAACTCTCTCTCTCTCTCTTCTTTTTTTAAAATCTAAAATTAACATTGTTGTTAACAAAAAGTTGCCCCAAACACCCAAATGTATCAAATGCAATACATAAAAATATAATAATAAAAATAATATATACTTTATTGATCCACATGGGGAAATTCCCCTCTGCATTTAACCCATTCACTCAGTGAAGGAGTGGGCAGCCATTTGGCACCCAGGGACCAGTGTGTAGGGATGGTACCGGGCTCAGGGGTACCTCAAGGTAGCCGTTCAGTTTTCCTTTAACCTTTGAAACCATATTTCTGGGCAACATACCAGTGAATAAACTGAATTCTAATGATAGAAACCTTTGTATATGCATAAGTATAAAAGAGACCTATACAACTGTCTTTCTTTCTCATAGTGCAGAGGGATACCTTCTACAGAATATGGTCTAAGTCAGGGGTGTCTAACTCCAGCCCTCAATGGCTGGTGTCCTGCAGGTTTTAGATATAACCCTGGGTCAACACACCTGAATAAAGTGAAAAGTTCATTGCCAGGCATCCGAAGAATTTCAAGACATGTTGAGGAGATAATTTAGCCATTTAAGTCAGCTGTGTTGGATCAAGGACACATTTAAAACCTGCAGGACACCAGCCCTTGAGGCCTGGAGTTGGACACCCCTGGTCTAAGTGGACAGAATATGTTGCGCCTGTGAGGTGTGATTTTCTATGAACCGTGCCACTTTTAATGCTCCTGGGCTGATTCAAATACTCATGCTAATATTGTGATGGTAACTTGGCTACCTGCTACCCCTCACCCAAGCTCCAACAGGTTTTTGTTTGTTTTGTTTTTTATTTGTTTTTTTTCTCTGTTCTTAAAACTAAAAGTTAAAAAATGTGAACGCAAAAGCAATATAGAAAGTCATACTACTGCTATTGTCTAATGTGCTTTCTCAATAAAAGAGTTTTCTTTTCTTTTTTAAAAAAAAAAGAAGAAATGCACATATATAAAAACTCACATTCTTTTTTCATCATCTTTGTAAATGTCTTTGGATGTGCCCATGATAAGGTAGGTTTTACTTGCTGTTAGACCCTGAGCCTTTCTGCAGTGCTGAGAGCTAATGAATATGCGTGGTTGACCTTCTGGACCAACATCGGTATTTCCTGCAGTTAGAAGACAAAGTAGAAGAAATTTCTTTTACTGAATATATATATACACATATACACACACATATATATATATATATATATTAGGGGTGCAACGATATTCGTATCGATATTGAACTGTTCGATACAGTGCTTTCAGTTCGGTACGCATATGTATCGAACAATACAACATTTGTAATTTCTTTTATCAATTTTCCTTCTGACGATGCTGTCTGTGTTGAGCGCTCAGTGAATCTGTGTTCGACTACTCCGCCTAGGCTGCACTGTCGAGCGCAGATCCACTGAGCGCTCAACACAGACAGCATAGTCAGAAGGAAGAGCGCAGGGCAAGCTAGCGAGACAGAAGTTAAGCTCTACTTGCAACAGGCAAATTGAACCTCATTCAGATCTGGCGTTTGGAATTATTTTGGTTTTCATGTGACGTATGACCCTGAAGGTAAGCGAGTCATGGACTAAAGTAAAACAGTATGTTGGATGTGCCATGCAATGCTCAATTACATTGGTGTGAACTAGTGTGTTAGCGCAGTTAGCTCGTTAACGTGTTGGCCGTCTAGCCCCATGCACGGAGTGATCGGCGGTAGCTCGTTAACGGAGATTTGCCGTGTTGTGGCGTTAAGGTCATTTCAACGAGATTAACCTGAAAGCACTAGTGGGAACACAACGAATATGACTGCACATTTACGCCGACATCATCCTAGTGCAAAGACAAGTGGAAGCAGACAAAAAAAAGCAAGCATGCTACTAACTTTAGCCGAGTCATTTAGACAGCTGTTAGCACATGATTCTCCTTATGCTGCTGAGAATATAGCCCAGAAGAAGCGTATAGTATAGCTTTTATTTTGGAAAGAGCCATTTCTCTGTAATAAACTCTCTTTTCCAAAGATGAGTGATTCCTCAATCAGATACAGGGCTCGCAATATCGCTAGCCCGACGTCCTGGAGCTAGCGATTTTTTTCAGTCGGGCTACCAAAATCTTTCTCTTCCCTGCCCGTCGGGCTATTGTAGGAAAAATATATGTCAATGCTTTTGCATTCTTTCAGAAATGTAGCTGGGTAATTATGTCATTGGCATCGGTGAGCCACTGTCAACATGTGACATATTGAAGTCGCGTTTGAATTTGCGCTTGTTTTTTTGCTTTCACTTTGCAATCGTGCGAACTGTGTATAGAGAGCGACAGCACTGATCTGTGAGTGATGATAATTTGTGCACCAATTCCTCTGACATCGTCTTATTAATCGTTAGCTTACTATGCAAACATGACAAGTGAAATCTCCCGCAGCAAGCTTACACATGTGAGAGGTTGATCGCGCAGAGAATCGCTGAGCTTATGTGAGTGAGTGTGTAAAAGCATTTCAGTTCTGCTGAGCCAAATAAGACAGGTCAGGGTGAAGAAGTGACAGCCAAAGAAAAGCTTACCACAAAACGGAGAAGTTATGACAAATCAGACTATAAGGCAAAAAGAAAGTGCAGCTTTATGGTTTCATGGACAAAAGAATTTCTGTGGCTGCGATATGATGAGCTAAATAACCAGGGCTGCACATAAGTGGTCCGCAGGTGCGCATTCGCTGTCAAAATAAAAAACACGCACAAGGGTTAGGGTTAAATTTAAAAACTGTACTTTTGAGTTAAAATATATATTTATAATTTTAATAAATGACAAATTAAAAATGCATGAACATTTTTTTGTATCGAAAAAATATCGAACCGTGACACCAAAGTATCGAACCGAACCGAACCGTGAATTTTGTGTATCGTTGCACCCCTAATATATATATATATATATATACATACATATGTATAAATAAACTTTATGTCTACCTATGAACCGCAGAGCTTAATAGAAAGTCATTAAAGAAAAAGGAAACACCCACCTTCCTTGATGACTTCAAGAATTTGTACTCTGTAAAAGTCAGTGGACCAATAGGGTTCCAACTCTTCCACTCTCACTTTGTAAACTGAGAAGAAGCAAGTTGTAGATCGTTAAACCATTTGCTTGTTTTCTCACTTTTTCATTAACAAATATCTCTTACCAAAATCTATACTGCCATCCTTTGCAACTTCACAGGCCTTTGCAATGCGATCTTCATTGCCGACTTCATTCTTTCTCTGAAAACTGCAATTCTCTGGAAATACAGCATTTGTCCAAAGTAAATTCACAAGCGATGACTCGAATGACTGAGCAGATGTGAATGCGTTCAGCTGTTCATATTATTCCTAGATGTTGATTTTCTTTCAACACTGTAATTGTGTAAGATGAGTGTTGTAAAAGGCACCAACAAATTGTATCATTAATATTATCATTATCATTAATATCATTATTGTTGTTATTAATATCATTATTATTGTTTTTGTTGTCGTTAAAAGTTATAAAATATAAAAGTTATATTTTCAAGACATGTTATCCGCTATAAAAAGCCAGGCCAGGCAAAACGCCTTTCATGTGTTTCTGTGTTTTATCCTCAGTTACTTTGACATAAAGGCATCTGCTGTGATGCTTACACCTCTGTTGAAGTCCCACAAGTGTCAACTTTGTTTTTATACATTGATATAAAAATATGGATATGTACTGATAAATGATTAGAAGTATAATATTTCTGACTGAAAGAGTCACAATGGAATGGAATCAAATCTAATCAGGGATCAAACCAAATTGGGACCTAGTGAATCTGAATCGAATCAGTTATAAAAATTAGTGAGGATACCCAGCCCCACTGAAAGAATTTTGCTGAATTAGAACAGATAGTGCAGCCTCGCACAATTCGGAATTCATCCTAATAGTTATATAATCACGTATCAATAAATATTAGTGACCATAATCCACTGCCAGCCATACATGCTAATGCCATAACATTGGGTTAATGATTGAGAGATGATCTGGAATGCTTCTAATTATGAGCTTGGTTTCATCTTTCCAATGTTTTTTTTTTTTCAGAACTGTCCAGGCTGTTTTAGAGCTTTTCTGTCAAAGTCTAATTTGAGTGTAACCAGAGGTTTTCATACGTTTTTACTCAGAGGGATCTCTTGATAGTAGACTAGACAATGATATGAGTGCCATAATGTGAAGAAGTTTTTCTTAACCGTGGAAAGAATCCACTTGTCTAATTACTTTTGAGCCTCTTAAAATGGGGATAAGATATACAAATGTCTTTAATTCTTAAACACTGCAAAAGTTGTTATGCAAGCATGCTGCTTTCTAAATATATGAGTATTCAAAGCTCTGATTACGATAAAATATTGTATAGTTTATAAGCAAAGGAGGATGTGAGACTGTATGGTTGTCCACATGCCCTCCAATTTGTTGTGATTGACAAAAGATTAAAAGAAATTAGTAGCTACTATTCTGTTGTCTGCAGCATGTGATGCTCTGCTACACACAAACCATCAATAAAGGTCACATCTTTCAAGGTAAGTGTTAATGTCTTTTGTCACTGACTGTTTCTTTAAGTTCCAAATAGAATAAATTCAAACGGAATAAATATATAAGTAGATAGTGTGGTAATGTTCTTTACCTTCTGCACATACACATTCCTTTCTTCCACTACACAGACTTAATAGTGTTGCATTTTTCCTTTCAGGGTGATAGAATTTCACACAAGGTTTCTCTGCAAGAAAAGAAGATGTTGAAAAATACTTTGTTTTCACTCATGGGATGTCACCCCAGCCAATATATATATCTATATATCTATATCTATATATATGTGTGTGTGTGTGTGTACATATATATAACCATATAATATAACCATATATATGTACACATACACGCACACACACACACACACACATATATATATATATATTACAGTCTTTGTTGACCAAGAAAACCATAAAATTCTCATCATGTTTTTGGAAACTGACATTTGTTATATTGATATCTGATTTTAGAGACTCACTGTTGTTGTATTCATAGACGGACACTGCAGTTGGTTGCAAGAAGCTTGCTTCCATAGTTGAATGGATCCTGAAAGTGATTATCTCTGGCTGTACGCTACTAATCTGCGGAGAGGTGTCCCACAAAGGTAAAATATGTGTAGGTAGTGCAAAACACAACTGAAACTCACATGCTGAACAGCAGACTTTGTAATTAGGCAGGGATGACCCTTTAACACTGGCATACTTGAGAAAATGGGATTAAAATTACCTAAATTTGAGGAGAAATCAACACAATAGCTCTTTGAAGTATATCAAGTAGCTATTATATTGAACATATTTAGTAGTGAAGTATGTCTATGATTATATAAATAAAAGGCAACTTATCAGTCACAAAAGAAACACAAACATAAGTCGTCTGAATTTCAGAAAGAAGCCATACAGACGATCTTACCTTATTCAGGTAAATGATGAGTGAGCCCCTTTCTGAAAGATCCGTATTGCTTTCATATCTTGAAATGATCCTGGAGTGGCTTTTAGACAACTGCACACACAGAATTTAAAAGTAACTGGTTAGTACAAATAATAAGTTATTGTGCATTCTTGCTTTTGATACTTGTGTCCTTTTAAGCTCTTACAGCATCCAAGTCATTTTTGTTAAATGTGAATCCAGTTGGCAAACCAACATCTATAATTGACATGGATGCATTGCGCTCCTCTTTAAACCTGCATAGGCAAAAAATAGATTGGTTAAAAAAAAAACACAAGCACAGAAATTTATTTGAATGTGCTGTTCAGAACAGTCCAATTTGGAAGTACTTACAAAACCTCTATTGTCAGCTTGTATATCTTCTCATCTTCATCTAGTTTCTCTGCAAAAGCAATGCATTTGATGAGCAAAATACAAAAAAGACAGACACCCATATATACCAAAAACAACAGGGAGATGGACATTGAAATTTACCTGGGACAATCTGCACAGACAAGTTGAACAACTCACAGTCCTTCTCTAATACCTTAGGCAGAGCGTAATACAGCGACATGATCTGAAAATGGCAGAAAGATCTTACTTGTATTGGACTGAGGTGGTAATGTGCTTTGAGGAACAAGTTATTAAACTGAGCTCACTTGAGTGTAGAAATAGATTTCGAATGAAAGCTTCATCCTTTAACACTTTAAGGAGCAAGTGTTTCGCTGATCTTCATCTCTTTTGATGGCAAATGAACTGAATCATTTCTTCAACAGATTTGATTCATCCATGAGGCAGTCTTCAACATCGGCTGCAGACTCACCCACCCCCACTGCTGCTGTTCCACCTCTGACACCTCAGACACTTCACACCTCCTCTATTCACCCTGCTCACTCCCCCCCACCCCCAACAACAGCATCCAATACACACTCAACACAAGGATCCAGCCTGTCTTTCTCAACCACCCAGGTTAGGAGGGAACTGAGGAGGATTAAAGCCAAGAAGGCAGTGGGTCCAGATGGCATCAGCTCAAGGGTCGTTAGGTCCTGCGCAGACCAACTGTGTGGAGTGATGGAGCCCATCTTCAACCTGAGCCTGAGGCTGGGGACAGTCCCACAGCTCTGGAAAACCTCCTGTGTTGTACCAGTGCCAAAGACTTCACGCCCCAAGGACCTCAACAGCTACAGGCCGGTGGCTCTGACATCCCACCTGATGAAGACCCTGGAGTGGCTGGTCCTGGCTCAGCTTCGGCACTTGGTGAGCTAATCATTGGACCCACTTCAGTTTGCCTACCAGCCTGGCACTGGAGCGGATGATGCCGTCATTCACCTCCTACATCGTTCCCTTGCTCACCTGGAGACCGCTGGGAGCACTGTGAGAATCGTGTTCTTTGATTTCTCCAGTGCCTTCAACACCATTCTTCCCACGGTCCTGAAGGACAAGCTGGAGAACTAAGGAGTGGACCATCACCTCACTACCTGGATTCTGGACTACCTCACCGACCGACCACAGTATGTGTGGACTCAGAGCTGTGTGTCGGACAGGGTCGTCTGCAGTACAGGGGGCCGCACAAGGAACGGTTCTGGCTCCGTTCCTCTTCACCATCTACAATGCAGACTTCTCCCACAACTCCACCCAGTGCTTCCGCAGAAGTTCTCTGATGACTCTGCAATAGTCGGCCTCATCACTGATGGGGACGGCAAGGAGTACAGAGGACTGACCCAGGACTTTGTGGACTGGTGCCAGCTGAACTACCTCCAGATCAACACTAGTAAAACCAAGGAGCTGGTGGTAGACTTCCGCAGGCACAAGCATTCTCCACTGCAACCACTGAACATCCAAGGTATGGACATTGAGGCTGTGGACAGCTACAGGTACCTTGGTGTTCATCTGAACAACAAACTGGACTGGACTCATAATTCAGACGCCCTCTACAGGAAAGGGCAGAGCAGGCTGTACCTGCTGCGGAGACTCAGGTTGTTTGGAGTGAAGGGCCCACTCCTGAAGACCTATGACTCTGTGGTGGCCTCAGCCATCTTTTACGGTGTGGTCTGCTGGGGTGGCAGCATGTCTACCGGGGACAGAAAGAGACTGAACAGGCTGATCAGAAGGACCAGCTCTGTTCTAGGATGCCCTCTGGACCCAGTGGAGGTGGTGAGTGACAGGAGAATGTCGACCAAGCTGTCATCCCTGTTGGACAACGTCTCCCACCCCATGCAGGAGACTTTGACAGCACTGAGCAGCTCCTTCAGTGGGAGACTGCGGCACCCACAGTGTGGGATGGAGAGATTTCGCAGGTCTTTCCTCCCCACTGCTGTCAGACTTCACAACAAAGACTTTAACTGATCAAACACACACATCGACACATGTGCAATAACACTAAGTGCAATACTCTTTTCTGGCATCGTTGTATTTTTACTCAGTTGTATATAGCATTTGTATTCTATTTTTATCCTATTGTATGTTTTATTCTATTTTATTCTACTGTATATAGTATTTTATTTAATTTTATTCTATTCTGCACAGTTGTGTACTGTATTTATTCTTATTGTATTCTAATTTTTGCTTCATAACTTTTGCACTGTCCACTTCCTGCTGTGACAAAACAAATTTCCCACGTGTGGGACTAATAAAGGTTATCTTATCTTATCTTATAATATTTCAAGTGTTCAGCATTTTTCTCATTCAAAGATACATTTTTAGCAAACTGTAGTTGGTAATAAGTAGAGTCAATAAAGAGCAAGAGCTAATGTTTACTAATGAACCTTACCTACCCAACAACCCTGAATTCTTAATTTTAAACTAAAAATGAGTTTACCTTTCTTTAGATGTGCATTTATTAAAAAACAAACAAACTAAACATTTCTTTTAACAAGGACCCCTTTTTAAATTGTAAATCGTAATACTAAAGCTAAACGTCTACAAAGCTGTTACAAATGTATGCAGCACATGTAATTACATGAATGAGTGCCATATTTACCTTTAAAACTGCTTCTCCATTTCCTGTGGCATTCACTTGTATATCCTTGTTTATAGCAGGGAACTATTGAGATTCAAAATATAAAAAATGATTAGAAATATTGAGAAAAAAATTAATATAAATATATATATATATATATATATATATATATATATATATATATATATATGTATGCAGCACATATATATATATATATATATATATATATATATATATATATATATATATATATATATATGTATATATATATATAAGGGGTGCAACGATATTCGTATCGATATTGAACCGTTCGATACAGTGCTTTCGGTTCGGTACGCATATGTATCGAACAATACAACATTTGTAATTTCTTTTATCAATTTTCCTTCTGACGATGCTGTCTGTGTTGAGCGCTCAGTGAATCTGTGTTCGACTACTCCGCCTAGGCTGCACTGTCGAGCGCAGATCCACTGAGCGCTCAACACAGACAGCATTGTCAGAAGGAAGAGCGCAGGGCAAGCTAGCGAGACAGAAGTTAAGCTCTACTTGCAACAGGCAAATTGAACCTCATTCAGATCTGGCGTTTGGAATTATTTTGGTTTTCATGTGACGTATGACCCTGAAGGTAAGCGAGTCATGGACTAAAGTAAAACAGTATGTTGGATGTCCCATGCAATGCTCAATTACATTGGTGTGAACTAGTGTGTTAGCACAGTTAGCTCGTTAACGTGTTGGCCGTCTAGCCCCATGCACGGAGTGATCGGCGGTAGCTCGTTAACGGAGATTTGCCGTGTTGTGGCGTTAAGGTCATTTCAACGAGATTAACCTGAAAGCACTAGTGGGAACACAACGAATATGACTGCACATTTACGCCGACATCATCGTAGTGCAAAGACAAGTGGAAGCAGACAAAAAAAAGCAAGCATGCTACTAACTTTAGCCGAGTCATTTAGACAGCTGTTAGCACATGATTCTCCTTATGCTGCTGAGAATATAGCCCAGAAGAAGCGGATAGTATAGCTTTTATTTTGGAAAGAGCCATTTCTCTGTAATAAACTCTCTTTTCCAAAGATGAGTGATTCCTCAATCAGATACAGGGCTTGCAATATCGCTAGCCCGACGTCCTGGAGCTAGCGATTTTTTTCAGTCGGGCTACCAAAATCTTTCTCTTCCCTGCCCGTCGGGCTATTGTAGGAAAAATATATGTCAATGCTTTTGCATTCTTTCAGAAATGTAGCTGGGTAATTATGTCATTGGCATCGGTGAGCCACTGTCAATATGTGACATATTGAAGTCGCGTTTGAATTTGCGCTTGTTTTTTTGCTTTCACTTTGCAATCGTGCGAACTGTGTATAGAGAGCGACAGCACTGATCTGTGAGTGATGATAATTTGTGCACCAATTCCTCTGACATCGTCTTATTAATCGTTAGCTTACTATGCAAACATGACAAGTGAAATCTCCCGCAGCAAGCTTACACATGTGAGAGGTTGATCGCGCAGAGAATCGCTGAGCTTATGTGAGTGAGTGTGTAAAAGCATTTCAGTTCTGCTGAGCCAAATAAGACAGGTCAGGGTGAAGAAGTGACAGCCAAAGAAAAGCTTACCACAAAACGGAGAAGTTATGACAAATCAGACTATAAGGCAAAAAGAAAGTGCAGCTTTATGGTTTCATGGACAAAAGAATTTCTGTGGCTGCGATATGATGAGCTAAATAACCAGGGCTGCACATAAGTGGTCCGCAGGCGCGCATTCGCTGTCAAAATAAAAAACACGCACAAGGGTTAGGGTTAGGGTTAAATTTAAAAACTGTACTTTTGAGTTAAAATATATATTTATAATTTTAATAAATGACAAATTAAAAATGCATGAACATTTTTTTGTATCGAAAAAATATCGAACCGTGACACCAAAGTATCGAACCGAACCGAACCGTGAATTTTGTGTATCGTTGCACCCCTAATATATATATAAACATAATCATGTTATGCCACGTTATCCTTTCTTCTTTTTAATCTTTTTTAAATTAATTTTTCAATGAAAATCACAATTTTATAAATGTTTGTATTTTATTTGTATTTTATTTTATTTATGAAAATTCTTGTTCCCAACGATCCTCCTAGCAGGTTGATTTGATAAACATTGCACACTAAAAGCTAACTGCCCACTAAAAACTTTGGCTTTCCACTGGCAGAGGGACTTCAGTGTGTGGGATACAGAGTGGGATGGGTTGTGGAAAAACACCAATAACATCTAAAACTTACAGCTAAACACTCAGGTTGATAGGTCTGTAAAAGTAAATAAATAAATGTATAAGTAAATGATTATGAATTAAAGATAAGCCTGAAGTTTAGCTATACATTTGGTTTCATTGATGCAAAAACGGCTCAACATGAGTGATAGGGACACTAAGCTCAGCTCCAACTAACAGATATTAAACTAACTGAAGTTACTGCAGCAAACTGGCTAAGATTAGTAACATTGTCTTTGTAGGCTGTACTGTCATGATCTGTGCAGTCTGGATTTTCCTTCTTTCTCTGTTTTCTAAGCTGGAAATATGAGTCAAGTGTTCTTACTGGACCCACCTTCCAGTGGCACTTTGGATTTTTCTGGGCTTCAGCTCTCAACCCTGGTTCCAGTATCAACATGCAGGGCTTGTACCTTCACTCGCTGCCAAATTGTTGTTACCTCTAACTGGCTCATGCAAGTTCAGGACTAGTTTTTGCTTCATGTCCCATTTAACCTCAATTTCATTTTTCTCCAATAATTCTTTTGGTGAAACGAGAGCTGAAGTTTTCTCTTCCCCATTCCCAAATCCCAAACTCACCACCACACTTACTTGTTTGAACAAGATGCTCGGCTCACCTTTGATGTTCTTGTGGTAAAACGATTTGCCTTGCTGAAGCTGTACTTGTCAGTCATTGTTCTGCCGGGTAGCAGGATGTCTACATCCACATTATACTCTGGTTCTTTAGCATTGATCCAGTACTCTGAACTTGCCTGGTACACCATTATGGTAGCCTGAAGAAGAATATACGCATTAGACTGAGTCTTTCTATACTGACAAAAAAAAAAAAAATCGGTAAGGTTTTGCTACACAGACACATAATAAACTGTCAGAGGGACTTTTGTTTTACCTGAGTTGACCCATAACCTCCTTCTCCCTGTTGGTACTTGCCAAGCCATCTCACAATAGGTGTGGCTTCCTCATAGGCCTTTAATAAAGGAACATAAGCAACTAAGTCAGAAGACATATCCCGCAGTCATGGAAAAAATGTTTGTCTGAATCATTAAATAAACAAACAGTAGAATTCATGGCCATGTTTAATAATAGAAGAGCAGTTGTACATGCAGAATGCAAGGAGAACTGAAGTCACTGGGACTAAAACCACATATACATGAGGCTGATGTCATCAACACACTATGATAGAAGAGGCTTCAATTTTCTGGGAAAATAAATAAATCGATAGCACATAAATAGATAGACCCGGTGACCAGTGATGGACATTAAGAACAACTGCAAAATTGGTGCACTTGTCTGCACTAACTCAAACAATCATCTCCCTCACTCATGCAGCTCAGGAACAACAAATTCTAGTCCCTGATAAAAGGACTATATTTAGTCTCTCTGCTGACTTTTCATCTTGTGCCATTGTTAGTCAGAAAATTTAACCCCCCCCCAATAAAAACTCAATCAATGAAGAAATCCCAAATATTGAAGAAATTTCAGTTTGCATCAGATGGGCCCCACTTTTGTAGCCAACAGTAACAGCCAATTTTATCTTTATTTATTTATTTTTAATCATTTTATTATTTATTTATTTATTTTTAGCTAAAGCATGTAGCATTGTTACTATGAGTCTATTACATGCTGATTATTAACCTAGGTGAATAAAAAAGCTAAACTAAATTTAAAAAAACAATTTTGATAGACCTTCAGAAAAACTAAGCCAACTATTGTTTAAGACAACGTAAAAAAACAAATAAATCACAAAGTCATTTAAGCCTTTCAAGACTGAAAAGTGTTACATGTTAGCTAAAATTAGTATTGGCTTTTATCAACTTTACTTGTTTATGTAATTTTCCCAGTTTGTTTTGAGGGGTTTGAGTTGAATTACACCTCTGTTGTATTTTCAGTGTAAGTGGGATTTGCTCACCTCAGCCTTGATAAGTGCGAGCAGAGCATAAGCTGTGGCCTCCAGTGTGTAATAACGTTCACCACGTACGTTCCAGTGGGTTCTGTCTGTGGAGGATCCATACATACAATTACAAAAAAGTTTTACAAATACATATATTTCGTTTTATTATTACTATTATTATTGTTAGTTGTTGTTGTGTTAACAAAATCTTTAAGCACACAAAGGCACTAAGTAGAAGGATTCCACATTTCTCTCATTTTTGAGAGCTGTATCTGCTGTATCTATTTTTCTGTCTCCCAAGAGCGTCTGTTTTCAGTTGTTTGATTTTAACTAGTAGATGGAATTGACCACGAGGCATTTTCATTTAACAAATAGGCAAGTGAGAGCTGAGAATTCCCTTTGATATGAGTATGAATCAACTGTTCTGTCGCTACATAATGCCATATATATATATATATATATATATATATATATATATATATATATATATATATATATATATATATAATAAGAATAAATAAAATAAAAATTGATAATCTTTATAAACCAAAGATTGCTTGCACTTGCAATTTTTACACAGACCTCAAACTTAAACAGAGAGTAAATATCAGCTCTATCTCAAACTTATTCAAGAGTCATACTCATCCCTCATCTGAGGGATGATCTCATAGTTGACACCTCAGATGAGCTCAGTCATAATTAGCATTTTTTGCCCACATTCACAGGTTTTTATACTGTGAATATGGTCACTATCTGTTAAAATAGAGCCATGTTCAGGGCAGTGCAGAAGTACCCGTGTACTTCTAAATATCTTTGGTAAGGATATTTTTTTTAATTAAAATCAAGGTTTTTGATTTTTATCTGCGGAATTTGGAACTTTTTGATCAAAGTGGTATACCTTGTTTGGGATGAAAGTCGTCCTCAAACATATCTGGATCACTAAAACATAAATACACTAATTTAATCTTATGTTTAGGACAACTGTGTGAAACCACCTGAACTGATGAACTTGAAGAGGATCTCCTTGTTCAGTTTGTTTTCATTAGCCAGGGCATATGATGTCATTGCAACAGAATAAGGGTTAATGAGGCTGGGTAGACGCTTCTCCAGGTAGGCCACTGCTTTATTAATACTGTTTTGTAAACTCTGCACATGAAGCACAGACACCAAATGAAATATATAAGATAAATGCAGAAGATAAGATAAATCAATGAGACATAGATGCAAATATAACATCCAGATATAGTATATGGTCTTTGATGTAACTTTCCTAATGCCAGTGGGCTGCTGTTCTCCAATTTATTTGTAAATTATATAGAACAGTCAAATTTTTTATCTACACTATGTATTTCTTTTTATCTAGTGGATGTACAGTGCATGTAGGTATATACTCACATTAACAGAGGACCTGCAAATTTCTCGAGACTCCTGCATAGCAATCAGGCAGAAGGCTGTCATGGAGGCATCTGAATCTGTTCCTAACAGATCGCTCTACACATACACATATACAAAGGTAAACATTTCATTTTTGTATACAACCAAATTTAATAAATTATTTTTATTAAAATTAGGAAACTCACACGCATCGATTGACTGTACACATATCCAACTTCTTTAAACATGCCATCAGGTTGCTGCGTGTTCAGGATGAGAAACTTGATGGCATCACAGATCACATCTTCATCCACTCTGATCAGGTAATAAGCCATTGCAAAAACCTTGGCAACGTAGGCAGTCAACCTTACAGAAGAGAGAACATGAGCACCTCTGGATTATTTATTTTTCCCTAAAACAATACATCCATTATCTAACAATCATTTTGGAGTTTTGCTGACTCACCAGGTGCTGCCATCTTTGTAGGGGAAGACTGCAAAAGAGCCATCTTGCTTTCGATAAGTAAGTTCAGTTGTATAACCTGGACAAAACCAAAGGCAAAACATTTCATTAATTACCAGTCAACACTTGACTGAAATTTGCTGATTTGATACCATTTTGGAGAGCTTGTCTGCATGCCTCTGTGTGTTAAGCTACCTGTTGTTATGTGTTGAAGAGCTTCGTTACGCTTTTCAAAGCCCACAAACTCCCACTGATTTGTTTTGTCCAAATACATGGTTGCAATAACAGGCAAGGTCATGCTAGCCATGTTCTGTTCTCCGCAGCCACCGGGCTGTTTGATTAGAGTCCCCATAGATTTACCACTAATGGCGTTCTCCAATAGTGTGCTCATTTGCTCTCTTCCTGTATAGACATAAGAAAACCCACAGTTACTGAGTTGGAAATGGGGCTAATCTATTGATTACAAAGGTCAACAAAAAAAAATCTTTTTGTAATCATCAGAAACCACAACACACTTTTCTAAACCAGTTTTTGAGGATGATTCCAAATCTGCTTTCAGGTTTTTTGTTTTTTTTTACAGTCACAACAACTTTTTGAATTATGAGTAATATTAGTTTGCAATGGACTTGCATGTGTTTTTTAATAAACCAATCTTTAACTGTTTCAATATTTTCAGTGCGAACTCAGATAGGCGCACGCTGTGGCATAGATGTAATGGTCATTGTCGGGTAGCTAGCACTGTTTATTCAAAATCTTTTGGCATATGATTTTCTTGTGTATACTTTATGGAAGAAGTGTTAGCTTTGGGAAAATAAGGTTCTTGGTCTTACCACTTAGAAAGATTTGTGTTCTTGCAGCTGTATCTGGAACCATATCTGTTTCAGGAATGGCACTCTTGATGATTTCCACTTGTTTGCCATCTAATCGAAGAGACAGATAAGAAGTTAGTGGATTCTGAAATGATTGTATATAAAATAAACAAATAAATAATGAATAAATATATTTTGTTAAATATAAGTTATATATATTTCGCACATTGCAACTATTTAAACAGTAAAGTTACCTCTTCCTTTCCTAGCAGGGTCTAATAGTAGAGTTTTTGTATTATACGTCAGTACACCTGGAGGCTGAAAAAACAGTAGTTTTAAGATAAGGAGTAAACACTGTCTGAGTAAATTGCTAATACAGATAATTGCCTGTTAAAATCACAAAGAATTGATTCTGTTCATCTTGATCTTGCGTTTTCAGTGGGAGAAATGTTTCGTCACTCTTCCAAGTAATTTCTTCAGTCTCAGCTGATTGCAGGTTTCCCCAACCTTATAAACAGTATATATTTACGTCCAGATAAAAAGAATCAATTTGGGTGGCTTTCCTTACCTGGATGTTTGAGCAGGCATCAATGCATGTTGAAATGTTTTTAAATATTTTCTTGGTTATGTTACTCATACTAATTTAATTTGTTGTAACTGCCCTTGAGTGTCAACAGAAGGTGTATTGGAGACAATTAGTGGTCTGAGACAGAAATGAGAGGTTCAAACCATTCTCATATGATATATCGAGTGCTGCAACAAATCTTTCTTACCACTACCCGCAGCATCTTCCTGATACCATCACTGCCACCATCTCTAACAGCTGCTTTAATCTCAATAGGAAAAAGTCCTTCCTTCATGGGGATAATGGTAAATGCTACAGCCCGTGTTGTTCCACTCCCAACAGTGACCTCCTGACGATACTTCCCGCGCTTATGAGCTGCACTGCACAAGTTGGTTTCTTCTTTCAGATCCACACGCACCTTGAAATGGGTAAAGATGGACAGTAGATTTTTTTTAAAAGCCACGACAATGCAGATACTTTGCATTGAATATGGGATCACTGAATAATTCCATGACTGCGAAAGTCCCATATGATAACATATAGTTGGCCCACCACCATCATTCAAATTTTAAGTGTAGAGATTAAAAGATGCTGGTTGACATGTTTTAATAATCTTCATTCCATTAGGAGAGATTTTGCAGAAACCTACCTGTTACCCTTGACACTAAATCATATTTTTTAAACATCAGTTTCATCAGTCCTCTTGGCATCTTGGCATGGTATTTCCAGCAGTTCTAACTAATTCTGCACATTGGGGTTTAATAGCACAGACTCACTCTGATAAGCTCTTCTTCATAGTTGTGGAGAATTGCTTTAATTTCCAGCTGCTCTCCACGGACTGCAGAGTATGGCAGTCTGAGATCAATGAAGAATGTCTTCTGTACTAAGATCTCTAAATCATCATTCACACAGATACCTTCAAATGAGAGACAAATAAACATAAAACAAAAGCAAAAGAAAGCGCGAGACATTTGTGAGTGGAAATATAAAATACAATTTATGCTAAATCTAAAAAAAATAACACGAGTTGTACTTCTTCACTTTAGGCAGCAACTGTAACAACTTCAGCCAACTGAATACTTTAACTCTTCAGTTTTATGTTGTGAGTTGTGAGCTGTGCGTGATACGCTTGACACCAAACCAAATTTTTTCATCTTTCTTTGGCCAAATGTACATATTGTATAAAAATGTTTACATATAGTTTCAGCTTTCTGTTGAACTGATAGATCAATATTTTTTTTTAAAAGCTAAGGTTGGTGTAACAATTTCGAAACAGGAATTGTACATATAAAAAAGAAAAATTTGTGCACAGAAACAATTCTCACCATGAGTCCTTGACATACTAATGCCAGTAAAGTGCCAGGCTGTAATTGAGTCAGGTAAAGGTATATCATTTTTCTCATATGTTGTACGGCTGAAATAGAAAAGTCCCATCAGTTTCAGTGGCAAAAAAATTCCTTAGAGAAGTGGAACGAGTTTTTGTGCATTGCTTTTTTATTGGCTGTACTTACCAGTTTTTGATGTTTTGAGTGCAATTTGGTAGTGTGAAGTTAATCCAAAGCCAGCTTTCGGGGAAGCTCGTCCGAACAGAGATGTCATAGCTGTCTATGTAATCATCATCAAGCTCATCTAAAAGATGTGATCAAAAAGTACTCTTATACTTTTTATATGATGAGAATGAGTTTTTAAAAACTAGCATACAACTAAATATATAAACTAATATACGTGATCTACCCAAAAAGAGTTTTCCCATCCCCAGTCCCCATCTCTTACTGCGAGCCAGTTTGAGGGCTTCCACTTTCCTGTCAACATGCACTTTTTCCATCTCCTTGCAGCAGTGAAGGAAAGCCTCTGCACAGCCTGGACCACCCACAATATAGTCGCGTCGCCTCTCACAAATGTATGGAACAGGAACATCCTTCATGCCATCTAAACAGCACTCAATTTGTTCTTTGTCCTGATATTTAGATACTGAAAAAAAGGAAACCACAGAGAAAAACCTTTAGATTACAGAGTTTAAAGTTCATTAAGAATGATCATGTACAAAGGGACGCTGACATTTATGTCTGTAAATATTTTAACATGACAATTTAACAAATAAAGTGACTGTAACAGTGGTCTGTGGTTTTATTTTCCAGTTCACAAAAGGAGACTTTGAGTAATGGTGAAAAGCTTGAATGTGCTTTGCTTGATGGAAAAGTGTGGTGGAGTGCACAGTGCTAAGTTTATGTAGAGTGTGTGCAAATGGGTGAATATAGTCTGATTATTTATTTTCTGTCTGATATTTCATTTTTGTTATAATCACTGGTCACAGTTATCATGAGACTCTTACTGGAAATGAGTTAAACCAGTATAAACTTGTTTAAAGAATTTTTTTCACAAGACAAATATTTGATGTAGATATGCAGGAGTGAACCAGAGCAAAGTCAAGAAACAATAGCTCTCATAGATAGATGATGCCACAAATGCATGAAGTCTAGTCAAGTCAAGTCAAGTCAAATTTATTTATAAAGCACATTTAAGAAAACAACTGTTGACCAAGATAAAAACATAGGAAGACATGACAAAAGTTAAGAAAATAAGAAGATTTGAGTAGGAAGTAAGATAAATAAAAGTCATACAAACTCATTCTGATATAAAAGCTTAGGAATAAAATTGGGTTTTCAGACAGGCTTTGAAAGTGTCCAATGTTGGGGGGGGGGGGGGGGGGGGGGGGGGGTTCCTGATGTGAAGGGGCAGTTTGTTCCACAATTTAGGAGCAGTTACAGCAAAGGCCCCATCTTCTGTGTGCTTTAATCTGGACCTCGTGACAGCTAGGAGCATTTGACCCACAGACCTCAGTGATCTTGCAGGAGTGTACCAATTTGAAAGATCAGAAAGCTATGAGGGTGCTAACCCATGCAACGCCTTAAATACAAATAATAAAATCTTAAAATCAATGTGAACTGGCAGGCAGGGCTGGCTTACATGTGCCAGTTAATAACCGTGCTGCAGCATTTTGGACCAGCTGCAGTAGGCTAACTGATGACACACTGACCAGAGTAATGACTATTACAAAAGTCAAGGCGAGATGAAATGAAGGCAATAGCCCTCTCAAAGTCTCTAAAACAGAGACATGGCTTCACTTTTGCAAGTAGCCGAAGATGAAAGAAACTGGTCCTGATTGTAGCATTAATCTGTTTATCAAACATTAGATTACTGTCAAAAATCACTCCTAGGTTCCCCGCAAATAGTTTTTTTATACATTTCTAAGGGGCCAAAGTAGTAATCGTCACAGGAACAAAACACAATGACCTCTGTTTTCTGAAACTGTGCAACTTTTTCCTTGTTTTTCTTCTAATAACTGTGCACTTTGTTTTTACCTGCCAACTGTCTGTGAACTTTGCATTCAAATATAAACCACCATGACACTTTCCTGCATGCGGTCAATCAGCACAAAGGTTCTCATCACAACAACATGCTTCTAGGAAGTGGTTTCAGCAAAGCAGCAAGCTTAAAGAAACTAGTAAAGTAAGTGGGATAGACAGTTCATTCTGTCAAAGACAGAATAGAAATAGCAATGTCTATCTTTGGCAGTTTAGGATACTCACTCAAGCTGGTTCTGAGGTCAATCAAAGTGGTAGATCGTTTCCTTCTGCTGGTGGCAGGACACTTCAAATCTGAGTTTTGAAAACAGAAAAAAGCACTCCCTTTTGCAATCCTAAGACATCAGTTACAGTTTAAAACACATTCAAAACATAGTCGCTCGAAATAGCTTATTTTCACTTTCATATAACACTACTTGCAGCTGATTATGGGATATCTATTAAGGAAGAAATTTAACAAACTGACTTGTTACAGCAGTGGCAAATTCAGTGAGCTCTTTAGATGCACCTGTTCTTTCATAAATGTTTGATAAGGCAGACTGCATGGCTAGAGACTGAAAACACCCAAATTCCAAAAATAAGAGATTATATCATATTCTTTATTTTCTCCTAATAGTTTATGTTAGAAGCCACTAAAACACAGAAATAGGAACTTAAAGGTTATAGTTAACGCTTTAAGGCAATCAAATTATTCTTTCTAAGTCGATTTTGAAAGTAAGCCTTCACTTTTTGGGAGATGCTTCTTCTAATGCTTTGAGAAGAAGGTATATTTCTACAGTAGTAAATGAACAAATTTTGACAAGGCAGGGAGCACCAACAGAAGCTAACTATGTCCCTTCATTGTACTGTTTCTATATAGTCATTTTTTTTAGTATGAGCTACAAGCAAGAGAAAATAAAGAGGTAGTGGACTAGCATGGCCAGCAGCAACCTAAAAAGGACCATTATTGGTTTCCTTGTTTTATACAAGGACATTTACCATTTGTAGGAGAAAATGAAATCAGTTTGTGTGGCTCTCAGTTAGTCACTGTTACACTACTTTGACAAAGTCAGTGTGATGAGTAAAGTAGGGTAACCTGTTCTATGTGGTGTTCCAGAAGTAGTGCTGGCCACAAACAACAGTCCAGCATCATAGAAAACATTCATGCTGTCCTTTCCTCCACCTGGTGTGCAGCCTGTGTCATACGCCGCTATTATTTCCCAAATCTGCGCAGAGTGGAAGCAAATCAAATGAACCATGCGAGTCTTTTAGATAGTAAAAGTAGACGTTATAAGTTAGGGTTAGGAATTTATTTTATGAGACTACCATTTCCATAGACAACATCGGTAACATAAAAAAATGCATGTCTCTAAACTTTGAACCAATAAAACATTTCATAAAAAACTCAGAAAAGTTGATTCTGTTTATCTCGACCTCGCATTTTCAGTAGGAGAAATGTTTTGTCACTCATCCAAGTGACTTTTCCAGTATCAGCTGACTGCAGCTTTCCCCAACCTTATACAGAGTACATTTGTATAATGACTGAAACTAGCACCATGGGTTGTGAGGTCAGGTTTGTGTTATTATTTGATATGCAAATTGTTGCGACCATTATCAACAACCACTGATCAAAGACCATTGATCAATGACCATGAGTACCATTCACAGAGAGTTGGAGAATGTCTGGAATCACAACAAAGATTAACCCTTAGGCCCCCTCCTCGATTCAGAGATGGCCTTCTCTTTTTCACGTACTATGGCCTCCTTGATTTCCTGTTCAAGCCAGTGTTCCTCCCTGTCCAGGATGTGTACATCCTCATCACTGAAAGACTGGTCACGGGCCCGTAGGTGTGAACACAGAAGTACTTACTCGGCTACGCACTCTATTTACATCTGCTGTAAAGTGGCCACTCTTTCAGTGATTAAGATGTACACATCCTGGATTAAGCAGGGACTCAAGGTGGCTATTTACATGAAAAGGGAAAGACCATCTCTGAATTGAAGAAGGGTACATCTTTCACCATCTTACAATGCTGTGATTGCAGCTATTCCCCAACTCTCTGTGAATGGCACTTGAATGGCCATTGATCAGTGGTTTTTGACCAATGGCTGTGAGAATTTGCTTATTAATAATCAAGAAATTGACCTCAAAACCCATTGTTCGCCAGTGGTGCTAGTTTCAGTCATTATGCAAATATGCTCTTTATAAGGTTGGGGAAACCTGGAGTCAGCTAAGACTGGAAAAGTCACTTGGATAAACGCAATGTTCAGATGAACAGTCAGCTTTTTGGAGTTGTTAAAAGACATTGCCTTTTTCTGGGTGAGGCGGTGTTTGTTGTTTATGACGTAGACGCCTTTGTCAACTGCCACTAATCCCACTGTGGCTCCTGGATCTCCTGTGACCTTCAGTTCAAACTTCCCGCGAGGCTTATAGTTATTATGTTTCTTTTCTTTTTCTTCCAGCTTCAGCTAAAGGAAAAGAAAATAGGAAGAGTAGATGTTTTGCCTGGGTGTCTTTTTTAACTTAGTTATTGTTATAATACAATGAATAGCTTAACTGTGTGTCAGTGTTGTGTCTCACATCTCCTACGCAGGAGTGCTGTATATCCACCTGAACGGAGTCTGATACCACTTCAGTATTTACATGGTAGTACGCTATGATGCGGAATGATGGCAACATCTCTTTGGTAATTAGAACATTGTGAGAAATCAGAATTTGACGTTCTGCCCGGAATCTGTCATGTTTTACCAGCTGACCTCTGCTCAGGATCTGAAGACAAATTTATACAATTTACTTATCCATCCTGTTACATAAGCTGCTGTAAGTAATTACAACCCAGTCATTCATATTTTCAAACACATACAGACAGGTATAAAAGGTCTCTTACCAGATATGTGATATCATATTCTTCGTTTCTGTTAAGGTTTAGGCTGAATTTGAGGTTTTGTCCTAATTTCACCTCAGCTGTTTCCAGTCCTGCAACAACAACTTTTTACAATCAGTACTAGACACTTTGTTGGCTCTCAGAGCTATAGAGAGGATTATCAGCACGATTTCTGCTGTCTTATCTTCTGATGTCATTTTACGAAATTCCTCACCAATATGAATGTAATTTCTGCTTGTGTGAGGGGTAACTATCATGGTAGCAGATCTTTGCCTTGCTGGTAAAATGTTCTCAACAGCAGTCGTTGCCTGTAATTAAAGGCATACAATAGATTATACACAACTAATATAAAAATAATACAATGATAAACAAACAATACAATGACACTAATTTTGTACTAGATTAAAAGTATTTAGCCTATTTTTAGCTAACCTACAGTTGAGCTGACATACAAACTACTGGCTATTTCCAACCACGTAAGAAAAGTTATATAACATTTTTAAAGCTGTGTTCTTTCTGACATACAGTGAAATAAAAAGACTGATGAGTGCATAGTTGGCAATAACTTGGCAATAAACAACATTGCAAAACATCAAATTGACAATTAAACATACAGTAATAATGATGTTTTCGCTGTTTTCCACTGTATTGATGCTTAGCTTTGCCATGCCGTTGTCTGCAGTGTGCCCTTTCACTTCACCAGGATTCACCACAACAGGAATATCTTTTGCTGGAGTGTTATCAGGGTTCAAAACTTGAATCTGCCATTACAACAAAGAAAAACAAAGATCAGCATAGTTTATTCGATATTAAGCACATTAGTTTCTGAAAACAATATAACAAAAGCATAAAAAATAACAAAAAAACCCCAACAATAACAGAAAAAAATTATTTTCATCTCAACTAAACATGTTCAGTAAAATATTATACATCACATACACATTATGTGTATATTAAATTTTATAAAGTTGTTTTGCTCATGAAACATTGAAATTAACACATTGAACTCATTGAAGCCCAATTGCCAACCCCCCCCCCCCCCCCCCCCCCCCCCACCATATTTTGTAAATTGTAAATAAAAACTGTCAAGGACAGTTGTGGCTGAAGAAGGAACCAGTTTCTATGACTATCAAGACAGGGAGTAAATTCAAAAACAATGTCAATGTGGTGTAAAAAAATACAAAACAATCCAGATCAGAAACAAATAATCCAACTCTTCTAGGAAAACACACAACAAGGAGGGACACAGCCATAAGGGAAAATGTAACGCAGGACAACGGGAGACTGATACAATAAATACCCACCAGAAAACAAGGTGAGACAAAACAGGTGTGAGGTGTGAGAAACTAATCCTAGATGAGATAAGGTATCTAGAAATAGCAACTATTGTTTATTTTTCGAGTTTGATGTTTCCGATGTTTCAGATGTGTTATAATAATAATAATAATAATAATAATGGATACTTTATTGATCCCCATGGGGAAATTACTTGTTTTTCTCTGCATTTGACCCATTCACTCAGTGAAGCAGTGGGCAGCCCACTAAGCAGGCGCCCGGGGAGCAGTGTGTAGGGACGGTACCTTGCTCAGGGGTACCTCAGGGTAGCCGTTAAGTGGATTCGAACCGCCGACCTTCCGATCATGGGGTGACCACTTTACCTACTGAGCTATCCCTGCTTATAGCTATGTGCTTATAGCTATCCCTGAGCTATAAGCACATCTGCCTAGTCACAGCTAGTGGTGACAAACTCAAAGCCTTCATTACACATTTGATTGTTGTTGTGTCACAGAACAGTCTCGGTTTCTTTTTTGGTTTAGTAAAATCAGGACCAGCTCATCATCACTTGATGTCAGCTTTTTTTCACAGTGTGCACAGATTGCATATTTTCACTGTACGTATTTGTGGCATTTATTTTTTGGAACCAACCCTAATTTTTCGTATCCAATTAAATAGATCTGACTAATGAGATCACTGCATTTGGCAACAAGCATGCTCATAGCTTAAATCGCAGTACTTAATATATAAGTACAACATATTAATTAATAAATTAATATGGCACCACGGACCTCGTTCTCTCTTGCTCAGAGACAGGCCACTCCTAGGTAGTATACACTTTTATTGCATGTGGTAAAAACAGAATGTTAATGTGATTGGTCAAGAAGTTGGAGGAAAGCCTTTAGACCCCATGGCCACCTCACATTTCATCTCCCGGACATCTCCCTATAAGGAGATTACCCTTTTGCAGGTAAGGAGATTACCCTTTTGCAGGCAACACTCCCATTACTGTGGCAACTATCTCTTGTCCTCTGGTCAGGCCTGCAGAGTTAGAGAAGGGGGAGGAGTGCATTCCATTTCCTAACACCCGATTTATGTTAGGATTTATGTTTTCAGTTGGTGCAAAGTCTAGACTGCAGATAGGCACCTGAGCACTTGGACTTTTCTACCTCAAAGCCATAATGTTGTAGTAGTTGTAATATATAGTTTACTATTTGTTTGCTTAAATATCGAAGGCCTTCACTGAAAAAGACATCACCTGGAGGGGAACATATTGCTCTAAAACCTTTCTAGACCTTCCCACACTGATGATGCTTTTCCAGTTGTGCTAACTGCAAATTCCAAAAGCAGTAATGCACCCACATACCATCAGAAATGCAGATGCTTCTGAATGAATAATAAGGCAAAAGGTCACTCTTCTCTTTAGTCTGGAGATCTTAAAATTAGATTAGATTAATTTAGATTAATTAAAAACTTGAAACAAATGTTTTTCACTTTGCATCAATCCAGTTTAACTGAGCTTCGGCCTGGAGAAGACAAGGTTGTTTCTGGATCATTTTCAAATGTCTTCTTCTTTACATGATAGAGCTTTAACTTGCATTTGAGGAATTTTACATTGAAAAATTATTCTGACACAGTCCCACAATTTTGAACCTCTGCCCATCTTCTGAGGAAATGTTTCTTTTTAATACCACTTACTCTTCCAGCCTTTTTTGTCCCTGTCCTAACTTTTTTGAGACATTATCAAGAATCGCTGTGTGGCAGGCAGGAGATTGGACCCAAAATGCAGGACTCACAACACACGGAATGAACTCAAAATGCAGCTTTATTTGCTGACTCAAGGAAATGATACAAAACTAAACTAGATTGGGAAAATCTAAACTAATCTTCACAGAAAGGGACACAAGGGAACACACAGCATGAGGGAGGATGTGACACAAGACTGAGGTAGATGCTGACCTAAATACACAGAGGGATAACAAGGAAGTGAGAACACACGAGGAACACAGCTGACACGAATAACCATAATGACACAGCGGAGGCTGGACTGAACAGAATGAACATGCGAATGCGGGACCTTCACAATAAAACAGGAAACATGATGTGGGACTGAAGGAGAGGCAGACGAGGGCAGACATGATGCGCTGGGGAAACATGGAAAACATAACAGAATAAAACATGAAGGGAAACATGGCACAAGAACTCACACCACAATATAAACACAGACACATAGGGAAACACAGAGGGCAGAAACACAAAGGGGAATCCAATAAACTAAACTGAACAACCTAGAAACCTAGGAATATATATTGAACTAACAAAATACAAAAACACAAGAAAACTAAGAACGCTTGGTCAAGATGACTCAGGACCATGACAGACATATTGCTGTCATCAAATTCAAGTCATTGAGCTATGTTCAATTTTATTGAGCAGTAATATATTTAAAGATATTGACATTTGTTGTTTTTCAAAATCAATGACTTAAAGAGTAATTATAAATTAGCAGCTTACTGTGACGTCAAACGACATTCCTGGTTTGAAATATTTGGGTGTTTTCTTGAAGTTGATGGTGTAGGGTGATTTGACAATTTGGATGCCTCTCAGCTCTGCTTCCACCATCTCACTACCTGTTTGTGAATATACACATTCATAGATTTTAAATATGAGTTCAAATTTACCATCCTTCTAACCCTTCTGCCACAAAGGACTTTAACTCACTTTGGCCCATTTGGCCCTACGTAAGTCTGGTTAAAGAGCCAGTTGCAATACATGGTTCATGGATATTCAATACAAACAATATTGTTTTTATTCCCCCCCCCCCACGCCGCCCCCCAAAAAACAAACAAACCAAAAAACAAAACATAAATTAGGCTAATAATAGGCTAATTAGGCTAATTTATCTATACTAGTGAATGCGTCTTGGGGAACACAAAGTTCAAATGATGTGTAAACAAACAAACTAATTCATATTTTAGGCCCCCGACTTATAAGTTAAATAGTGTCTTTTTCTTACCACTCTCTGTCAACACACTGACCGCAGCAAATATAAAGTTTCCTTCCAAATCATTGATGTTTGGAAAAGTCTGTGCAATGTGTTCCCTTTTCAGTTTAACGGTTCCTTCTCCTTCATTGATCTGCCATGGCATAACACAAAAATGGGTCATTCAGTAGGAACCTTTTTTTTATTCTTATTTCACAAAGAGAAAAGCCTTTTATGGAATTATTTTTAAGGATTTCAAAGTTAGGGTCAAATAACAACTGGACAATAATACAATGTGTCAAAATTGTTGGTTTTTTTTTGGGGGGGGGCACTAAATATTTCTCATGCAATTTCTAGTGCAAGTCTTTGTCTTATTTTAGGAAACTGGGCATTGATTGAAATCACAAAAGATAAAAATAAAACACACAGAGACTTGTCAAATAGGCAGTTATTCATTATTGTTATTATTTATTATTAAAAGAATAAATGTTTACTCACCTCCACTCTTTGAAGAGAACTTGGAATGCCGTTTTTTGTATTACCAACTAGAACTCCAAACACCACAAAGGCTGTGCCATCCACCTTTTTACCAAATAGATATCTAAAATCACAAATAAACCATTAACTTGCAATCAAGAAACAACAACTCAAACATGATTTTATAAATTAAACTGTGTCCACAAATCAAAAGCCTTCATATACGTCGCTTTGATGTTGATGGTGAGCTCATCACTGTCCACATAGAAAAAGGGGACCTGGGATGTCAGTTTAACCTCAAAACTGGGAAGCACTGCAAAATAATACTCATTAAGTGTCCAGTGAGGCGAAAGGGGAAATTTTTGTTGGCTATTTTTAAACAAACTCACCATATTCTTTCACTTCAAATTCTGCCTCAAAGGTTTGCTTTAAGTTGGTGTTAAATTTTGACACCACCTTCCACGTTCCTGTACTACATATACAAACAGACACACATAGATGTACATAAAGAACACATAGTTCAGTGTTGATGTGTTTATAAGATACATAAATTTGAGATCCCTCTCAGTGTGGAGCATTAGGGAAAAAGTACCTTACAATTTCAGGGAGGAAATAACTTCCATAGTAGATTCCTGACACTACAAGGACAAGCTTTGATTCTAAAATAATTCCATCAGGGTTCTAGAAATAAGAAAATTAAACCTAAAATTAGGAGAGAGCATCAATAAAACATTCAATATATTGTATAATTTTTAACATTTCTACAGCTTCCTAAAAACAGGTAATTTGTAATTATTAACTATATGGTTTATCTAAAAGTTTCAGTTTCAGTTTTCATGGCAACTTGTATTACAGCATACGTGTTGGAGAAATATTTATGTTTTATATGTTTTAGTGACATTATTGGAGATCATTATTTTGTAAATGTTTTATACTCTCAGTGATAGATTTTGTAATGATGTAGTTAAATGAAAGATAACAATACCACAATATCAACAACAACAGAAGTATCAGTTCCCGGTTGATAGTTCTTGTCTACGGGCTCCATATTTGGCCTCATTGCAAAAATCCTGTAAAAGACTGTGACAGAGAGACAAATAGAGAAACACTTTGTTTAATTACTGTGTTTATTTCAGATTCCCCTGTCAACTAGTTAGCACATGACATCTAACAAGAAGAAACACTAATTCTACAACCATGGAACCATCAATAAATGGATGATAGACATTAAACCGAGAAACTGACAACTCTGCTGCTGCCTGCTGTGATTTTAAAAAATATATAATTATACAATAGCTATTAATGATCTACTTCCAACCCAAGAAATAGAAATGTAAACAACGAATGTCGGACCCGACCACATTTCAACACTCGTTAAGTTTATTTCGGTTGCTGTTCACAACAATACTCAGCTGCAGTTTTGCAGTTGCCAGCCACACACACCAACAACAACAACTCAGTCAGGACCCAGTACATTCTTTAATGCAGGGGAGGCGTGATGAACCGATGCAGCGATGGTGTGTCAGCCTCCCTGCAGTGGCGCCACATATCACGCCCTGCCACAAGGAAAAGATGTATTCTTGATGTATCTAATGAAAATTAAATCAACTCTCTGACAAGCTTCATCTCCCATGATCTGAACTACATAAACTGCTAAAAGGTTAATGACCAAGTTCTGTCCAGTGATGATGACCATATCATTTTGTGTTGGTGTTGGTTTGTGTATCTCATCAGTAATGGAGTAAATGACTCACCGGTGGTACTGGGAGTATAGATAGTCTTGTCAGTCTGGATGAAGATGTACCCATATTGAAGGGAGATTAACACAATCTTCTCCAGTGTTTGGGTACCAAACTCTCCTTGTAGGTGAACATACTGTTTTATATTGGGATCATTGCTGAAGCGCTCAGCAGGGATCTGGGGAAAGAGAGACAGTGTGAAGGGAAAAGCTAGAGATATAATATTCATTTAAAAAAAGTTATGAATCAAGATATCTGTGTCATACAAAGAGAGAGCGAGAGAGAGAGAGATAGAGAAAGAAAGAAAGAACAAAAAACATCTGTCAGGAAAAATCCAGGTTGAAAAGCACAAAAACTGGAAAAGCTGGGATACAATTTCTGGAAGAGTGAAAACTGTTGCGAAAAAGGTGACAGATGTACATAAAAAAACTGGGGCTGGGCTGAAAATCGAGATATTTGGTGAGCAGAAGAGCTAATGCACAGCTGACAAACATTTCCCAGAGATCTTTCAATGTAATATTTTTGATGCCATAATTATTGCTAAATTGTCAATACTAATAATAATAGATCTAGTGCAGCAGGAATTCGATATCTTAATTTGGGAAACTTCTCTTTTCGTTAAATTTAAATAACACTGTAACAGATTTCACTGTAATATAAACGAGTTCACATTATGCGACTTTATGGGATCCTCTAATAAGTTACTGATTAGTTAGAAATCTCACGTTTTAACTTTCTTGATCATCTTTACATACGCTTATAACTTATAACAAATGAACCAAGGCTCATGGGTCTAAGATTGGCACCAGTGATTAAGACCACAAGCTCATAAGTAAAACATTTACAGAAGTCATGAACCAAGTAACATGTGGAACTAATTTTTTTCATATTGTTTTCTAATTCTATTTACAATAATTTTGTAACCCCAGGAGTTGATCATTGCTGTTCATTAGAAAGAATACAGGTTTTCTCTCTCTTATTTTTTATTTTAGTATTTTAGGCTCCCTGGTTAGTTAAGTACAATATAAAATTATTTTAGAAAACATATTGTATTACATTGTTGTTACACACTAACGCACTTGGGAATTTGGATGTCCCAACTGATAATGTTTATGAAAACCTGCATGGTAATAAGGATGTTTCTGAGATGCAAGACTTAGTAATACTTACCATAATTTTTCCAATACCCTGGAATTTGTTTTCCTTAGTAAGGGTCACAGTTGTTGATGCCAGCATAATGTCTTTTCTTGGAAAGTTCCTCACAATGATATTGACATTAACATTTTTTTCACCAGCATTATCTTGAATTTCAACAAAGATGTTTTCTTCAGTTCCTACTCGCAGGAGATTGGGGGCAGACATCACCTCCCTGAAGACAGAAGACAGCGTTGGATAATGTAGCCCAGCTGATTCTGTATGTAACAAACTTCATGATTTATTCAATTAGTCATTCATTTGGTAAAATAAATCATCAATTTTTATAGAGAAGATAAATTCTACCAAAACTAAGAGTTTTCAGTCATATTGTAGCCCTGTGCAAGAGTACATAAAAACAATGGCTGTTGATGCTAATGTCTAACACCAGCATGCCAACTCTTCTGCTTACTTTTGGAGCTTGACTAAAGGGGTGCGTTTAAAAAATCAATTTGCTTATTCATATCAATTTTACCTTGAATAACGTGATGTCAATTCATTAAATCCTGTTTTTTCCTTTTTAAAATATAAATGTATTTTGCCAGAAACACCAGAATCTCATTTTAAAGCTCACAAAACCCCGCACGGCTATCTCTCAATGTATTTTTAAAGGGGCTACATGCTAAAAAGCCAGGCCAGGAAAGTCTCCTTCGTGTTCTGTATTTTCTTCTCAGTTACTTTGACACAAAGGCATCTGTTGTGATGCGTACAACTCTGATGAAGTCTCACAAATGTCAGATATGTTTTAATCATAGATATAAAAATACTGATATGTACTGATAAATAAGTACAATATTTCTGATTGTCTGAGTCAAAATTAAATTGAATTGAATCAAATCGAAACGAAACCCTGTGAATCAGAATTGAATCAGTTATAGAAATAACCAAAAAGTGTCAAAATTGTAGAGAAAACATACCACAAAGCAAATTATTATAAATTCAACATCTACTTGGTTGCTTTTCAATTCAATTCAATTTTATGTGTCCAGTACCGCATTTATAGGTCCTAAGGGCTTCACAGTCACATTTGTTTTTAAATGAAGTCACTATATTTACATATGTGACATCATATAAAAATATATATGTCAAAACTATATGTAAAAAATTACATATATTTACACACAAAAATAACTGCTATACTTTGTTTAGTTCTTTCCAGTTTGTTTGTAAAATGTCCTTGCACTGGATAAACAAAACATTTCATCCTTGTTCTGGGCAGAGATGGGCAGTAATCGGATTACTTTTTTCAAGTAACGAGTAATGTAAGGGATTACTATTGCAAAAACGGTAATTAGATTACCGTTACTTTCCCGTAGGAACGCTGCATTACTGCGTTACTAAAACCGTGATTTTTTTGCGAGAATGTCTCATGACAATGACGTAAGCGAGTGCGACGGCTGTGGTAGCACGTGTGTCAACAATAGAAAACATGGAGCGAGGGATAGAGTACGATCGTGCAGCATTTAATACTTGGAAATACCGACGTTACTTTGAATTTGACTCTTTAAAAAGCGACAAAAACATAAGCGTACGTTGTACACTCTGCATCAGAAGAAAACTTCTTTCTACGTCGAAAAATTCCACTTCCAACCTGAGCAAGCACCTAGCACGCTGCCACAAGAATGTTAAATTGACAGAAAACCCCCAGGATCCCTTCACTGACGTGACCGCTGTGGCTACCACATCTACTTCCACCGGGCAAACCTCAGATGGACCCACTCCTGCTAAACAGGTTAAACTAGACGTAAGAGCGACAGGACTTAGTGCCGCTGAACTGAAGAAGCTCGTCGCTGTCTATATCGTCGAGGACATGTTGCCGATTTCCACTGTTGACTCTGAATCATTCCGACGCATCGTAGAAAAAAATACCAACTAAAAGTGGTGTCAAGCTGCCCCAGAGAAAGTCATTTGTAGGATACCTTGAGAGAGAATATGACAAAATGAACTCTAATTTGAAGGCTACACTCGAGAGGCAGAGTTTGTTTCCACCACTGCTGACATCTGGACAGTAAATAATAAAAGTTTTATGGGTGTAACAGTTCACTGGATTAATTCCACATTACAACGCAACAAGGCCGCTCTAGCATGCAAGAGAATTAGAGGCAGCCATACCTATGATGTAATTGGAGCAGAGATTGAAGAAATCCATTCATCATATGGACTACAAGGCAAAGTTATTGCCACTGTAACGGATAATGCATCCAATTTTGCCAAAGCATTCAGAGTATGTCAGCCCTGTCATTTGGAGTCTGAATCTGAAAATGAAGAAGGTGATGACGAGGAACCGACCTTTACTGATGTCATAGAAGCTCTTTCAACTGCATCTGGTGATGCACAGTTTAGCCTCCCTCCACACTACAGATGTGCATCGCACACAATTAACTTGATTTCAACAAGCGATGTTGACAAACATCTAAATTCCTGTGCAGACACCAAGGCTTTATATAGGAGTAGCATTGCAAAATGTTCTGCTCTTTGGACTAAAGCAAGTCGATCAACATTAGCCTCTGAACAGGTGGAGGAAGTCAATCGGAGGAAACTGATGGTACCGACATCCACAAGGTGGAATTCCCTGTATGAGGCCATTTCTAGAATTCATCACAATTCCCTTGAATGAACTTAATCCCCTGTGTGTAAAACTGGGAATCAAGTGCCTTAATGAAAGGGAGTACCAGTTCTTGAAAGAGTACTGTACTGTGATGAAGCCCCTGACAGTGGCTCTGGACATCTTACAAGGGGATGAGTGCACCTACGGGGCTTTACTGCCAACACTCACAAGCCTGATGTCAAAGACGCTTGCCCTGAAAGATGACCTCTCTAGAATGACAGCCAGCCTTCCAGATGTCATTGTAAAGGTAAGATAATTATTAATTGCTTTGGGTGGATTTGTTAAATTTATTATACCATTCACAGTGGGTGGATGTTATACTTTGTTTTAAGCAGCGGGTACAATTATTAAAATGATAGAATAAAAGACCAAGTATTCACCCCTTGTTAAATATCAGGGACATTGATCATCATTAATCATGAATATTAATCATAATATCAACAAAAGCCTCAGCCAAAATTAAATCTCATACAGTATTGATAATAGAAAATATAGATGGTTTAGAGCTGTAAAGCCCACAAAATAATGACAATAGGTAATTATATAGTAAAATAATTTTATTCTTAGATGCATCATATTGTATGTTACAGGCCATCAAGACTTGTTTTGATGCTGTTCTGGACAGCCAAGAAGGACTTCTCGCAGCGGCCACTTGTTCCAAGTTTAAACTTCGTTGGCTGAGAGATGAGCGTAGGAGAGAGTATGTGAAGGAGCTCCCGATAACAGAGTGTCGTAAAGCTGCTCCTGCAACTGAGAACACTAATGTGTCCCAAATCCCAGCCAGCCCAGCCGAAATGGACTTTTTTGAATTTCAGAATCAGCCAACAGAAAGCTTCTCAGCAGAAAAAGAAGTAACTGACTTTTTAAGGTCAGGCTATGAGCTTGAGATTCTGAATCAGTTCGCAAATCTCAAAAAGATGTACATGAAATACAACAGTCCAACTCCATCCAGTGCACCAGTGGAACGGCTGTTCAGTTTCGGTGGATTGGTGCTTTCCCCAAAAAGGAACAGAATGTCTGATAGAAGGTTTGAGAAGCTTCTGCTGATGCGATATAACCACTGTTTCAGTCCAAAAGAAAACAATAAAACATAGGTCTTTTTCAGGGTTGCCACAAACTGAGACTGGATTAACAGCCTAAATGTAGCATGCATTAGCATTTTCTGTTTTTGTAATCTCAATATTATGCCTCTCTGCACTTTACAAACTGTTAAAAGACGTTATTGTTAATTTTATTTATTTTATTTATTTATTTTTTGCTTTATTTATATGAAAAGATGTGTGTGTGTGTGTGTGTGTGTGTGTGTGTGTGTGTGTGTGTGTGTGTGTGTGTGTGTATACACAAAAATAATTTATGCTATATGCTGGAGTATGCAGAAATACAGTTTAAGCCTTTATTTTCTTAAAATATGGTGTAATGTGCAGAAATATGTTCAAATGTTAAACAAATTTATTAAAGTCAAAGACTGTTGAATTTAATTTAATTTTTGTTTGATGCACTGTTTATAAAGTTAAGATTAAAAGTAATAAACAATTTTTAAAAAAGACACTTTTCCATTTGATTCACTTTTATATGATGGATTATGCAGAAAAAATAGAATTGGCCCAAAAGGTCTATTGCTTTATCACGCATTCAGGTAGTGTATCATGTTTTTTAAAAGTAACTAAGTAATTAATTACTTTTGAAAATAAGTAATCAGTAAAGTAATGGGATTACTTTTTTTGAGAAGTAATCATTAATCAGTAACTAATTACTTTTTTCAAGTAACTTGCCCAACACTGGTTCTGAGCAATGTTTGCTGTGTGTTTTGTAATTCACCTCTGTGCAAACTTAGTGTGTGGTAATTTACCAGCATTTGAAAGACTGTTGTACCTTGACTTGCTTTACACAAATAAACTGGACAAAGCTGGATAAATATTCATTAATCATTATGTATCCTATCCACCACAGAAAATTGCTAGTAGCGAACATTTTAATTTGGTTTCAGAATACAGTTAAAACTGGACATTTGAGACAGTCATCATATGATTTTATTCTATGCTTTAAAATCATTCAGTTTATAACAATAAGGATTTGTAGTTTACACGCAGAATATTAAACTTAAAGCACTGAGAATTATTAACCGAACGTAAAAAGGTGCTAGTGTCATTTTAACAGTGTAGTCAGACTCATAATAATTAATTTTAAACAGGCGTTAAGACACAACTTACATTGGAGATCCACTAGCCAGAGAAATGAAACAGAAAAACCCCACAAAGTCCAGGAGCAACAGCTGGCTCCGATACATCCTCCTGCCTGATCCCATATCTGCTGAGTGCAGCCTCTCCATCTGAGACAAGCTTTTATGGAGTAGCTTGATCCTCCTACACCTTCCGTCTCTTCCAGTGATAGGAGAGCTTAGCAGTGACTTGTGACTGTCTTAAAACTATGCCCATATACACAACTGAAACTGTATTTGAACGTAATTGTTTGACTTATTCATAAATACTAAAAAAAAACCCCAAAAAACAATTATGAAGAAATATATAATAGTGTATATATTCTCATGGTATCCTTTAACAATTTTAAATAGTTTTTTTATTGATAACATTTTTTAAATATATTAAGATGGGAATATACTAAAGTTCTCAAAAGAATGTAGTCAAGTAAGAATTATAACATTTTATGGTGATTTTCAGTTGAGTAGAGTACTTATTCTATTAAACGTACTCATTATCATCTTTAATATCATCAACAACAGTGGTGATTAACATTTCTTTCCAAAATATTTCAGTAGTATAGTATAGTAAGAATATTTCAGCCATCATGCACACATCAAATTAGTATCTTTCCAAATGTGTAATGAAAAATGACATTATAAATCGTAAATGGACTTGTTCTTATATAGCGCTTTTCTACTCTTCTGAGCACTCAAAACGCTTTACACAACTTGCTCATTCACCTATTCACACCCATTCGCACAAGCACATTTTTCTAGGTGCTTTCTAAGTAACATTCACACACACTCATACTCCGATGGATGCATCGGAGAGCAATTTGGGGTTAGTATCTTGCCCAAGGATATTTGACATGCAGACTAGGGGAAGCCAGGAAGCGAACCACCAACCTTCTGATCAGTAGATGACCTGCTCTACCGCCTGAGCTACAGCTAATGAAAAGATGGCTCTCGGAGATGTATTTGACTTACCCTGTTGCATCTTCATATTATATTTATGTTAGATTTTTCTTTTCTTTTTTTTTTTAAAAATTGTTTTTCCACAGAATAAATGATGCAGATTTCAATTCTATTATATTTTTTAATATTTTGGGGATTGTTAAATTCATTACCTGATGACAGTTTGACAGGTCTTTTGGATTGTCCAATAAATATTGCAATTCCTTTTTTAAAGATCTCCTATCTGTTATTGTAACAGACCATTTAAATTATGTCTAAATTATTTACTGCATTTAATAGAAATATTAAACAAAAAATATAATTGAAAAACAAATATCATTATAGCATCATGAAGAAATTTAAAAACAGCAGTAGCCTACCATTTAATTGTTGTAAAACTTGTTCAATTCCTTTAAAAAAAAGGCTTTACTGATAATAGTAGAACAGAATAGCAAACTATTACTGTTGTAAAGCCAGAGAAAAAACAACAACAACAGTTATTTAGAAATAGTATGTCTATTAAAATGAATGTTCAATCCATTCCTTTGTGGTTTTGAATGGGGGATTAAGTCCACTTCCAAAAAAATCAAATCTTTTTAACAGATTACATTGTAAAAAAACAAACAAAAAACCCATGACAATGTTCAAAAGATTATTTCAGGTTTTATATTATAGGTAAATGGCCTGTATTTGTATTGTGCATTACTAGTCCCTAAGGACCCCAAAGTGCTTTACACATTCAGTCATCCACCCATTCACACACGGCAAGCTACATTGTAGCCACAGCCACCCTGGGGCGCACTGACAGAGGCGAGGCTGCCGGACACTGGTACCACCAGACCCTCTGACCACCACCAGTAGGCAACGGGTGAAGTGTCTTGCCCAAGGACACAACGACCGAGACTGTCCAAGCCGGGGCTTGAACTGGCAACCTTCCGATTACAAGGCGAACTCCCAAATTTTGAGCCACGATCGCCCCCGATAGGTGGTATAGTGTGCAATCCAGCAAGAGAAGGAGTGAGGCCCCAGGTGTCCAAAGGGTGAGGGTCCTAGAGTACCAGAGGCAATGTGCAATTCACTTTTGATTACAGACTCTTGGACTTTGAAATGTTTCAGGACTTACTATAGACTCCATCCATCCATTCGCTTCCGCTTATCCTTTTCAGGGTCGCGGGGGGCGCTGGGGCCTTTCCTAGTTGTCATAGGGCGAAAGGCAGGGTACACCCTGGACAGGTCGCCAGTCTGTCGCAGGGCTAACACATAGGGACAGACAACCATTCACACTCACATCTAGTGGCAATTTGGATTAACCTATCCCCACAAGCTGCATGTCTTTGGACGGTAGGAGGAAGTCGGAGTACCCAGAGAGAACCCACGCAAACACGGGGAGAACATGCAAACTCCACATAGAAAGATCCCGGCCTGATGATGGAATTGAACTCAGGACCTTCTTGCTGTGCGGCAACAGCGCTAACCACCGTGCCGCCCCTACTATAGACTCAATGAGGAGAATTTTAGGTCCCAGTCCGCTCTTGGCTTTGTTTTACTGTGGAAGACAGTACTGGAAAAAACTTGCAATTTTTTAAAGTCTATATCCCTCTGGAGATTGTAATCACTGGCACTAAATCTTTAATTCCCTGTATACAAACAAAAACTTATTTTTTGTTTTACAATTATTAATTATTGTTTTAATTAATAAATTATAAATCACAAGGTTTTTTTCTAAGAGTGCAAAGATTGAAAAGGAATAAAAAAGCATAAAAAAGGAGTGAACTACTGTAACTACTATTCAACAAAATCAACAATTTAGACTTCAATTCCATGAAATTTTATTAAAGCAATTTAGCAGCAGCAAAGCACAGAATCAAGTAATAATATTAATCACGAGGAAATTTCTCGTGTTTCTCTTGCATTAGGAATAAGGAAGAATTGGCTGGATTTGTACAAAATGAAACTGCTGGCAATAGACACAAGAATACTGATGGTTACACCCTTGTGCAATAAAGAGGATGTATGTTCTATCACAAGACACAATAACACAGCTGTTTGATTTCTTTCACTAGCTCATCCACACACTCAGTAGCGGTTTTTGATACGGACGACACGGGCGGTTGCCCGGGGCAGCGTCGTGGTGGGGGGCGGCATCACGGGCATCGGCAAAAAAAAATTTAAAAAAAAATGCTCGTACTCATGCTGCCCCGACGTCATGCCAGCGCATATGGCATGGCATAGGCGCCGATCGGTTTTCTATCGCCCATTTGGTGGGAGTAAGGGCCCCCTCCGTTTGCGAGGTGCGCCTGCTGCTTGCGGCACAGGGAGGAGAGGGCGGGGCGGCGGGTGATTCTCTGGCTGGCTGCAGCAGTATCTAATAACCAACTCGCCAAATAAAACAAAATAAAAACAAACCAACAAACACTAAAACACCAGACATTATGATACAGACTTGTGATTTGCACCCAAGTTTTTTCGATGTATTTTTAAAGGGGCTACATGCTAAAAAGCCAGGCCAGGAAAGTCTCCTTCGTGTTCTGTATTTTCTTCTCAGTTACTTTGACACAAAGACATCTGTTGTGATGCGTACAGCTCTGATGAAGTCTCACAAGTGTCATATATGTTTTTAATCATAGATTAGGGCTGCACGATTTTGCACAAAATGAGAATCACGATTTTTTGCTTAGAATTGAGATCACGATTCTCTCACGATTTTCTTTTCCAGTATAAATATTTATTGCACTTATTAACTGCACATCAACTTCGTAACAGTTGAGACTGAACATAAAAACAATAAATAAACATAAAAACAACAAATGTCTCACGTTTTGTTGTACTGCTTGAAATTCCGTCTCCACCTTTGCTCGACACTGCGTGTATAGAGCAGGTAGTGCAACAATAGAAAAAAATTCACCTGCAAAAAATTCACCTGCAAAAAATTCACCTGCAAAAATTCACCTGCAAAAAATTCACCTGAAAAAAATTCACCTGCAAAAATTCACCTGAAAAAAATTCACCTGCAAAAATTCACCTGCAAAAATTCAACTGCAAAAGTGATGAACTTTAATGACCCAAGCCAGAGCAATCAGCACCAGATCGAGTCGAGTGGCTCTCAGCCAATTAAATTACGCTGTTTGATCACATGACACCGTTAGCCAGCAGTGTGTCTCCTAAAAGAGAGCTGTTTAAAGGTGAGTGATTAAGTTTTTCTCCTAAATAGAGATCATTACAGAACGCCTAGTCCTACTTAAAATCCCATTTATTATTATTATTTTTTTTATCATCTACTCGAACTAAGGAAAACGTTTGACTAACTCAAAGACAATTTCCACGCCTCCCCTGCCTGACTGCAGAGGCAGTTTTGAATTTAGGAGCGCCAAGATGGCAGCGGCTCTCCGGTGAGTATATATATTTTTTTATCTTCAAGTTTGTCTTTTGAAACCTTAATTTTATTTAAATCCGTTGCTCATGTATAAAGTACACAGACGGGGTCTTTGCTCAACTCGTCTGAGGCGTGTCTCACTAAGCGCTACATGCTAGCATCCTGCTAACCGAGCTACCCTTTACATGCTGTGCTTTAGAAAATAGGATACTCGTTAAAAAAATACTCCGCAGATATTGATAGATAGACGAACACTGCAAATATAATGTTGGAAACGAGAACGGCCTTTGGTGAAGGGGTAAAATACACCATGAATAAAGCCATAGAGTGAATGGTTGCCATGGTTGCAGAACAGCCTGATTTAATGACAAGAATGGGGAAGAGTGAGGTGAAGTGAACCACAGCCACAAAACACGGTCAGACAAGGCGGCAAAAGGGCAGTGATCTGTCCGTCAGTATGAAGTTGGTGTGTGCTTTGGTGAACAAAAACTCCAGACTGGTAGCAGGAAGATGGGAGACTCGTGTTTCACTGGAATAGTGGTGAATTAAAACATCCTTTGTTGGGGACATTTCGGTGTAAATGCATCCATACAGGCAAGACAGAGGCAGACTAGACAGTGAAGAAAACAAGGCAAACATTAGAAATATAAAAACGGAAATATAGGATGAGTCGGGGATGAGTTCCTGCCCCAAGTGGAGGAGTTCAAGTATCTCGGGGTCTTGTTCGCGAGTGATGGGAGAAGGGAGCCGGAGATCGACAGACGGATTGGGGCTGCAGCTGCAGTAATGCGGACGCTGCACCGGTCCGTCG